AGCTCTTTCTAATGGTGAAGTCAATTTTACCCCAAAATGTCGTCATTTTCCCCTTAATCGTTTTTACGACGAAATTTCGTGTTTTATATCCCGATCGGGATACTACTTTTTTTCTATATCCTGATCGAGATATATAAGATATAGGAGGCATCCCCTTACTGCCTGAGTAGCCTCGTACTTATTTTGTAATCATTTAGTAAAAAAGCTACCCCACAAGCTAAGTTGACACGGCACCATAGACAATGTCGACTTGGCTCATACGAGTAAGATGATCATTTTTGAAAAAGTTTTACAGAATGAAGCTATCATTCGTTATTCAGAATGCATAAAGTTTTATTAGAAGGAATAAACCATTATCGGAAAGTTCCTGCAGTTTAAGTCGACTTGAACCACGGTTTAAGCGAAGAAAACGCACCCAGACATGTTTTCTGCGGTTCATGTTAACATAGTGTGCTCGATTATGTGACATAAGTCAGTGATGTTTCCGAAGTTAATTTTGTTCTTTCTCTGGTGTACATGGACTCAGCGTAACGACCTGTTGTTCCCTACTCAAAGAAGAAAATGAGAAAATAACTTACGTCATGTTTATAAAGCAGTGAACGTAAATAACTATTCACGAGGTTGAACGTGGTGTTATAACTAAGAACAATCAATGTTTTTGTTACTGATAATAATTTCTAAAGTATTTTCTCTCCGCACACTCTAAAAGAAAAAGTTATTTTAAAATACGGAAAGTTGTATAACCATTTGAAGCATATCATAACTAGGGGTATGACTAGGACTGTAAAAGTTGCCGTTGCGTTTATTTAACGCTAACTGACAACACAAGACAGTTACCGTTGTTTTAACAGTAACTGCCTTTCCAATTACCGTTGTTTTAACGCTAACTGTCTTTTCAGTTATCGTTAAAACAACGGTAACTGTCTTTTCAGTTACCGTTGTTTTAACGATAACTGCGTTTCCAGTTACCGTTCGTTGAAATAACGGTAACTATCAGTTAGTTAACTTTGTGGTAACTATTTCTTAATTATGACAGAAATATCCAAGCAGCCGCTTAAAAATGGCTTCTAAAATCGTTAGTTTTCCACTAAAACTGTTGAAACTTCCATAAATGACATGATTTTGATTGGCACACACGTGCCAGTCGACCAAACTAATCGAAATTATATAACTTCAGTGTTTTTTAACTGCGGTTTTTAAGGTCTCTGGAGACCTCAGCATCTACGGGCAGCTTGAGAAATCTTTTTGTTTTCATCAACGAAATTAGACTACAAAACCAAGCCATTTATGAAAGTTTCAACAGTTTTAGTGGAAACTAACGATTTTGGAAGTAGTGGCGTAACCAGGAATCCGTGGGTGGTAGGGCAGTGCCCCACGACCTTTAAAAAAATCCATCCACGATAGTTTAAGCTTTTTCCACAACTGGAATACAGTTGCTCAATTCTCACTTTCTTAAGAGAAAGACAATACACTGTATCTGCACTTTTATTAAGTGAAATTATGTGAACAAAAGAGTAAAAGAAAATGAAGTAAATAAACAAATAAGAGTTATTTCAACATTATTCGACAAAACTCTTAGTGGAAATAATTATTTTTTGTTTCTCCCGATGCCCGGGCAAAGACTGTCGGTGGCCGGGCGGCGCCCGGTCTAGCCCACCCCTGGTTACGCCACTATTTGGAAGCCATTTTAAGCCGCTGCCTGGATATTTCTGCCATACTTAAAAAACAGTTACCACAAAGTTAACTAACTGATAGTTATCGTTATTTCAACGGTAACTGAAAAGACAGTTACCGTTGTTTTAACGATAACTGACTTTTCAGTTACCGTTGTCGATAAAGGCCGAAGAAGTAACGGTAACTTTTACAGTCTTAGGTATGACAGTTCCATATTAACTCCTATCATAGGAACTGTTGAAAAGTTCTTTCGAACGGAGCTGATATGTTCGTGCAGCTCACTAGTCGTCTAGACAAAGTTTAAACGTCCCGAATGTTCATTAGACGTTCGTATCAGCGAAGTCCTGCAATCATAAATAGAAGCATGTAAATGGTCAATTTTTTATTCCTCAGATAAGTATGGTCAAAAAATTAAATTAAAAGAAGTATGATCTTTGTAAGAAAAGCAGACTAAAGAAAAGATTAAAGTTTATCTTTTAGGAACGTTGAATATTTCAAGTTTTTAGCTGAGAGAGAAGACCGTGTTTTTCGAGCAACATAGCCTGCGATTGAGAATGCGCTCTCACTGGGGACTGAGGTCGCGGGTATAGGACTGAATCGACGTGCCATCTGGTTCAATATTGGAAGTAAAGTTGAATGTTTTTTCCAGAATGACGCAAATGTATGACCGTTCTTCTCCAGTGCTTCGAGTTGAGCAAGCTCTTGCTTTAGCGCGAAAGCTTTAGCAGTAGTCGTTGAAAAATTTCAAAAATTTTCAATTTTTAAAAATTCAAAAGAGCTGTTCAAACATATCAGCTCCTTTGAAAAGAACTGTTCAACAGTTCTTTCGCTCAAATGAGCTGAACTTGTGAGCTGGAACTGTTACAGGTCTAATCATAACTGTTTAATCGTTTTTTACTTTTATTAGAAAAGCCTTTTGGGATTTTTACAATACGAAAAAGCCGTGATTTAAAAAACCATGAATTACGAAGAATAAGAAACTTTTAAACAGTTATGGTATGGTTCAAATGGTTATAACCTTTAAATGTTTTTCACGGATGGTTATACCTTGTTTTTGGTTTTTCTCAAATGGAAAATACTTTTTAGGGCTTTTTGAAATACTTTTTTTAGAGTGCAACTCCTTAAAGTTGAGCTCATGCTCTTTTTTACCTTTTTTTGTTGATTACAGGTACAAACTAAAGTTAGAAGAGTGTTACAAACATTTTATCATTTGTGGATGTCTTATAAAACTGAAAACATACTTAAATGTGTTAAAAGTCAAGAAAAACTGGAAAATTTACCTGATATAATTTCTAGCAACAATATATACGTGATTTATTCAGCTAGAAAGCAAACAGGTGAATAATCTAATAGTCCGTAATAAACAACACTAATTATATTTTAAACTTTAGATAAATGGAAATGGAAACAATATGATGTTAAGCCTGCAATTGTCAAGAAACAAGTGTTATTTCTGGTACATTATTTGGTGTCGGAAGATGACACAAATAAAAATTTACCAAACGATAAAAAGTTGTTTAAACGAGTTTATAAATCAAAAGACGATTCAAAACTGAGTGCTGTTCATTATCTTGGTACGTAATCTTCTACATGTGCCATTTGTACAAATACATTTAATCTAGAACTACAAAATTAGCTCGTGATGCCAAGTTGACATGGTTCATTCAGTCGAATTAGAAATAAGCTACTATCCGTTCCAAAATACAAGAGCATCGGTTGCTTTTTGAATAACTTTTGATAGGTAATAGATAGAGATTTGCAGTTTCCAGCATTCGAAAGAGAACACCTGAACACATATTTTCATTACCACGCTCAGTCAATAGTATATACATACTTGTGGTAATTTCGATGGTCTTCCAGCAACGGTTTTTGTATTGTTTATTTGTTTTCTTTGATGAGCCTTAATGAAAAAAAAAAAATTATGTTGTTGAAAATGAATTCGAATCCTTTTACCGGTTCTTTATCCAACACTGTTGGTCGTTTAGTACCGGTTTTTTTGACTCCTACTCTGGCTCTCAAGGCTTTTCGAACATTTTTCATGTTTGTTGCTGCTTGACACTGTCCTTCGGTCATGTTCAAATATCTTTTAACAGCCAAAATATGAAGGCAACCACATTTCGATCTTGATTGTCTGAATATATCACAGTTACATTGAATTTCTGGAAATCGTTGAAAATTCACATTAAATACAGCACCGTCTTTATTTTGAACTAAATATGTGCCTAGAAACGAGATTTATTGAAAGCAAAATTTTTCCCATTCATCTTACGTGTAGTATCTGAAAACGAAACACGTTCATGAGGATATAGTATATTTGCTAATTCAAACAATGATACGGGCTTTGGACGTTGTGATAATTCAGGTTCAATGATTTCTTTGTTCGCCAAACGTGTATTTTCAATTATTAAAAGAAGAATAGTATTCGTGTAAGTTGTCTTTCTTAACAAGTACAGCTCTGATTACCTAGCTCTTCAATTTCTTCTGCCATTGGTATCTGTTCTTCTTCATCCGATTCTTCATCATCGTACGCTTGTTCAACCATTTGCTTACCTGAATAACATGAGTTTTAACGACTATCGTCTCTTTCTTTCTCTACATTTACCATTATCTTCGGAATTTGTTTGTTCCCGTTCTTGTTCACTTGTTGAACTTGTTTTTTGTTTCATTGTATTACGTTAAATATTCTTTGTCATATGATTCCAACATCGATATTGATCCACCGAGTTGGAAGTAACAGTCCTTTTAAATAAATCTTTAACGTCAATTTCATAAATTTTCCACATGCCTAAACAGAATCGATAGGTGTGAGATTTGTTTTGATATCAATTTTCCGATTTTTTTCGCGGTCATAATAGAAGACCATGGTCTTCTATTTGGCTTTCAAGTCATATAATCGGCAGTGGTCTTCTAATAGGGGATGGTCTTCTATTATGGGGGG